TTGAAAAGATTCAAGTGACCGGCCAAACAGTGGAAGCCCAAGAAAAGCTATTCTTGCAAAATGAAAACCAGCTTGTAGTTTTTCCTGTTATTCATTTTGAGTTTCCTCTTCCTTACCATTGAACACTATTTACAGAATTACTTGGGTATTAAGTTGGAGTCGTTTCTATTTTCTTCAACTTCTATTTTTCTAAATTACTTTTCGACATTCATTCATAAACTCAGCCTTTGACAGAGATCTTTCAAAAATGTGGGGATGGTGCCAGACCAGCCCTGGCGCACTGTGCAAAAGACATTTCTGCAAAATGGTTTCATTTTTTCTGAGCTGTATGCACGATTGGCACTATTCTTTGTTTCTTCAGAAATGAGTCCCTTCCTACAATGAACTATTGTCATTTCTTTTTTCTGAAGTCATCTCTGTCTGTTGTGTTCTTGAACTGCAGAGTTTGAGGCCATAGGCAGGATTCACTGTGAGTGGTGCACCCAAAGATTAGTCAGAGCACAAACCCACAACCACACAGCGCAGGGCTAGAGCTGAAGACAGGAGCAAAGAATTTAATAACCGGGATCATTGCTCTTTGATTTTTCTCTCTCCCTCTCTGCCTACAACAAACTATTTCTAGGTTTTAGCACTATGATTTTAAAATTATTTTCTCTGCTCTTGCATAATCTAAACAAGCAAAATAGCATATCAAATGCACACAAGACAAATGAGAGACCAGAGTTGACCTTGAGATAGGTCCAATTTAAGTTTTCAAAATTTTAAGTTTTCAGGGACTTTTTTTTGCTGTAGAGTACATTTGGTTTATTTGATCACAGGTTTGGTGTTGCTTTCCTTAGTCAAAAACTGGAATGAAGAGCTAGATTTTGTAAAGGTGCTCTGTAGGTGTGTGTTTTGGCTGATTAGACGTTTTGGTAAGGTCATAGTTTCCAAATGTAGTCACAAAAGGTCCCATCAATACAAGATTATAATAGAAAGTATGTGTGGAATGATTGCAATTTGATTCTCCTTCCTGGTTTAGTGCAGAAATATTCTATAGATCAAATAAAATAAACAACACTCCATCTCTTTCACCTAACCAGTAAACTTACTTTGTGAAAATTGAAGTTTTGCTGCCTTTAATACTATAAGCTGAACATAAAAAGCAGCAGTATTCTCTGATCCTTTCTTTTTTTATACTTTTTCCTTTTTTTTTATGTACACACACCTATGCACGAAATTTTCTAGTGTATGTGATGACAAAGAAAACCACAATAATCTGTATAGGAAACAGTTTCTTTTGTACATAGTGGATACTAAGTGAATTTAGCTGAATTGAAACAACATACATCTGAATACCTGAATTGTAAAGATCAAGCCTTGTCCTTTGATTTAAAAAAATAATAATAGAAAAAGCCTAAGAACATAAGCCTCTAAACAAAGAGTAATGCCCATATATATTTCAGAGTTATTTCATAACAATGAAAAAATGAAAGCAATCTAAATATACAATAATTAGAACTATAAAATAGATGTTGTATTCATGAAGAAATATTGTAACACCATTTAAACTTTATTAGTAAAAAATTTTAAGGACATGGTAAAATATAAACAATGTAATGTTATATTTATAAAATAAAGATTATAATACAGTAGACTCTTGACTTACAAACTCAATCCGTTCCCAAGAGCTGGTTGTAACTCAAGTTGGTTGTAAGTCAGTACAGCTGAGATCTAGAGGTTTACCTGGGTACACACTATAGATAACAAGAGGCAGATGAATCTTTCATTAACCTAATTAACCCAAGTTGTTTGTATATCAGGCCAGATGTAACTTGAGGGTCCATTGTAAATGGCATTTCAGTGTAAGGTTAGCTTATAAGGCAACAGTGCACAGGAAAAGGAATTGGAAAAATGGTAATATTAATAGTGTCTTTGGATATTGAGAATATTCATTTTTCTGTCCTCTTTCCATATTTCAGTATATATTATAGTGATATATGCATACCCATGATTATAGCAGCACAATTCATAATAGCTAAATCTTAGAAGCAGCCTATATGTCTATCAACAGATAAATGACCAGGTGTAGTGGCACATGCCTGTAATCTGAGTTGAAGCAGGAGGATGGCCACGGGTTCTAGGCCACTCAAGGTTACATAGGTGAGTTCAAGGCCAGCCTGAACTATGTAGCAAAACCTTGTCTCAAAAAACCAAACAAATGGATAAAGAAAATGTGGTATTTGTGCACAGTGGAATACTACTCTGCCATAAAGAAGGATAAACGAGTTATTTGTAGGAAAATGGATGCACCTTGAGACCATAATATTAAGTGAAATAAATCAGACACACAAGCTTAAATATCATATGGTTTCTCTTATATGAGAAATCCAAAATATAAATAAAAGAAATTTTAAAATTAAAAAAAAAATAGATAATAGGAAATAGGGAGTAGATCTTTTGCAAAATGGAAGGAGACTGAGATGGAAAGGGAAGGGGAAAAAGATGGAAAAATAATTAAGATGTGTGATGTACATGTGCCAACTCCCCACAAGGAATGTGATCATTAGGTACTGCAAACATGTATCAATAAACAATAAAATTTGAAAAAAAATAAAGGTGTATTATTTTGGTAAACAGAAAAGCTAAGAACTAGAAAAACATTCCTGTGGGAAAAATTTATTCATGTAGCCACTCAAAACCAATGAAAATTTTATATATTTATTTTATATATTTATATATTTATACTAAGCCCGTCAGATGGCTTTCAATATAATCCAGTGAGAGTCACACACTGAGTTTCCATCATCCTTGCAAATAATTCTCTACAAAGTAGCCTTTCAAACCTTCAATCCTTTAGTTTAATCTCAATCCATTACAAGTCCATGACTTTGTAGGAATATGTATACTTAGGCTATATTTGAACCTCTTTCTTTTACTAAAAGACATATTTCCTTAAGTTTTTCCTTCCTGTTTACTCATTTTAGTCTTATTTTATTGTTTCTTATTTTGTTTTCTACTCTGTCAAGTTCTCGGGTGCTGATTCACGCATTTACTGTCTCCTAACTCTCCCCGAGTGGATCACTTCCGGCAATTTCTCATAGTGAGCACATCTTTAGCGTCTTTCTTTCCTCTTTCTTTCTTTTTTTCTTTCTTTCTTTTTTTCTTTCTTTCTTTCTTTCTTTCTTTCTTTTTCTTTCCTTCCTTCCTTCCTTTTCTCTTCTCTCTTCCTCTCTTTCTCTCTCTTTCTCTTTCTTTCTTTCCTTCATACTGGAGATTGAACTCAAGATCTTGTACTTGGCAGGCAGTGCATTGTTTCTTTCCATGTTTCATAGACTTTGAGACACAGAAGTGTCTCCAAAAGCTTTTGTGTTTACTTTGGTCAGAGTTCTCATGGATTCCATCTCATCCAGACCTCATTTTTATACTAATTTCTGGGCTGGGGTTCTCAGACGGTGTGGGCAGTATAAATTCAGATCTTATACCTTTGCGTGAGTTTTAATATCTCAAAGGGGACTCCTTCCTATTTACAAAGTGCCCAGGGCACAAGCTTCAGTTAGGCCGAGGGTGTGGTGTGACCAGTACCATTTTCACATGGGGGTTGGCCCTCCTGGGCTTCTGCTGCTCAGCGAGGTCTTGGTCAGAGCTTCCTGCCTCAGTGGTGAGCACTCAGCTGCAGCCTTCATCCTTGCACAGGCAATGAAATGCCTGCCCATGGCCACTAGGACCTGTCTGGATACAGTACCCCCAGGATTTCTTTGGCAACATCTCATAGATTGCTTTAACTGTAAGTTTTAACTTCTGTTCTGGTGCTTAGGTTTTTCTTTTTTGGGGGAAGGGGTACCCTCAGGACCTCGTGCTTGCCAGGCAGGCACTGTGCCGCTGAGCTAAATCCCCGGCACGGACATTTCTTTTCGAAGAAAAAAAATGTGTGTGTATACACGCACACACACACGCACACACTATCCAGAAATCTTTTTTGGGGAGGCAGTGATAGGATCTCACTATGTAGTTCAGGTTGTCCTTGAACTCACTATGTAGCCCAGGCTGGCCTCGAATTGGCTTTCAGCAATTCTCCTGCTTCAGCCTTCCAAGTGCTAGGATTACAGGTGTGTGCCACCACGCCCTGCCAGAAATCTTATTTTGAGTGGGAAGAGTTCTGTGGAATGCTTGAGGTCTGGAGTGGGAAGTTACTCCGGTTGGATTTCAAGTTCTTAGGAGTCTTATAGAGAAGAGTA